GAAAGCAAACTATTAATTACACCATTCCCTTCATGAGACCGCATTCAATGCGGTAAGACTCGGAAATGAAAGACAATAAATGCTCCTAATACAGAGCATTTATTGCATCCTCCCCGAGAGGAGTACATTGTACCGTCGGCATCCCGATGACCCAGCATTGATTGCTTGCGACCCCGAACAATTAAGAAGATGAGACATTCCTCATCAGAATCAGTGCGCACACTGTCTGTACCTAATGATCACCTACTGACTACACTGACAGCAATCATGAGCTTTTGAGGTATAAATACTCCTTGCAAAAGGCAAGACGGGTATGCAACAAAAAACTCTTTACTACAATACACACTCAGTGTTTTCTCCTTCCTCTCTCTTTCTCAAAGACTGACTAGATCGTCGGAGGGGATACGCCGAAAAACACTCCGGCGCCCTTCTAACTTGTTCTTCTTTGTTCCAGGAACCTCTTTCAGCCTTACTGGATCGTTCTTCCGCTCCCCCAGGGTCTCCCGTTGCCGTTCCAGGTTGCCACCGGACCTCGCAGGCTGTTCCAAGCAGCGTGGTTGGTCACTCAACTGGNCCCTTCTAACTTGTTCTTCTTTGTTCCAGGAACCTCTTTCAGCCTTACTGGATCGTTCTTTCGTTCCTCCAGGGTCTCCCGTTGCCGTTCCAGGTTGCCACCGGACCTCGCAGGCTGTTCCAAGCAGCGTGTTTGGTCACTCAACCGCCTCACTCGAGTTCACCAAGAGAGAGATCTGTTCTTATTTTTTATATTGTACAGGATCTTGCACGCACATTTTTCTTCCTTTTTTACATTAAATGGTTTCACGTATTCTGACAAACTAAATGTATTTGAGGAGCTAAAAATTGTTCTCGGTATTTATCAGTGGGCAAGTGTCTAAGCTTGAGAGAAGCCTTGTTTTCTTATCCACACAAAATTTGTCAAACCAAAAAAGAATTGTCAAACATTAACTGTACACTGAAAGTGTTGAGCCATTCTACCGAGTGGGTGTTCAGTGAGTCATATTGAATATATTTTGCTATTATCAAAGCGGGTTGTCTAATTCAGCCACTTAGTTTGCTATAATTCAACACTCTTTTTGATTGCTGAGAAAACTGAGGGAAAATGTGAATGGTCAGTTAAAATCATTCAGTCCCTCGATATTGATGTGCAAGACATCACAGTAGTGAGCCAACAATTTCAAATTCAAAGTTCCAATCAAATGCTGACAACTTTTTAAAATTCAGAACTTTAAGTTTTATACAAATACAATTAAATAGAAGGAAATAAAAAAGAGGACTTTTAAATAATCAAGACTGTATACTAAAAAAAAAAAAAGAAGGAATCAAGGGAAGAGAGAGAAATGGGTATAGGGATAAAGATACATTCTTGTTTGACTCGTGTCAGTTTGTGTTGAGTATTAATTAATTTTAAACAAACTTATTAAATTAATTATGACAGATATTGTGATGCTAATCCGACATATTTAGTATTAACTGTTATAACTCGAGAATTAAAAATTTAGTACTAGAATCCAGTTATTTATCAACCAAACTATCACTCGAAATCTAAAAATCTATTTAAGTCTATGTAGTGGCAAATAAACCAAAAAAAAAAAACACAAATCATCATTCACAATGATTTATGTCAATACGTGATATAAATAAAAAAAAGTAGTCATTAATATCTCTTACACATGTTTATTTCATCAAATTCTTTTGATACTAATCCGACCATTTATAGATTTATATTAGCAATTTATATTATTTTTTTAGTCATATTAAAAATTAGTTAATCTTAACCCATTAATTTCGTATTGTACTCTGCCTATACTCTTGTCGTGTCCAATGACTCCAAGTGCATGTTTATTTGAAGGATAATTATGGTATAAAGAGGTGAGATGAGGGAAAATATTACGTGGGATTCATTAATATCTTGTTTGTTTGCCTTTTTTGTGTGGTACTATTTTTTAGATTGCAATACTGACCCGTTAGCTACCGTTCACAAAAACCCATGTGCATGGACTTATATAATACCACATAGGAGGTGATGTTATTTGTTGGGTTTGGGCCACCAATGGTATTAAGGAGATTAATAATTGAATTGTCCTTCAGCCTTTAATGTTAGTATGAAATTTTGACCACCAATGGTTTTTGTTTTTTAATTTTATTAATTTTTTTAAAAAAAATTTTTGATTTTGAATTTTTTCTGTGTATTATGTTTAAGCGTATAGTGTCACTGGTTGTTTTTTTTTTAAAACAATTAATTTATTTTCTTGCATTATGCTTAAGCGTATAGTATCACCTAGTTTTTAAAAAAATTATTTTAAATTTTTTCGTTATATTATTTTTAAGCAAACGATGTCACCAGTTTTTTTAATTTTTTTTTACAAAATTTTTTGTGCATACATCTAAAATAGAATAATAAATGGATGATGTTAAGAATAAAATTGTATAATTGTTATAGAAGATATAATAGAATAGATGGTTCTTTATGAGATCCGTTATAGTACCACTTAAACTAACAAATATAAAAGAAAACTAAATTTTTTTTTATTACAATACTAATTTTTCATTGATATTAAAAATATAAGAAATAGATTTCTCAATACTTACCATACCAATCCACGAAACAAACATGGTTGAAACTTAACATCAAGTAGGGTAGTCTAGTGGACATCGATTTTATTCTGAGGTTGGAATTTCAAATCTTAAAGCCTCTAGAGACTTAGTGGTTAATCACAATATTAACTCAGTTAGATTTAATTCCAAGTAGGGTTTTAGACGAGGTCAAGGGTATTACGCTCTTCTTTACCCCCTTTTTAGAACCAGCAAAAAAACAAAACAATGGTCGAAACAAATAGAGAAAGTAGAGGAGGAGGGAGACTTTCCTGAAAAAAGAGGGAGAGAACGAGGGAGGAGGAAGCGTTACTGGATAACGGGTAATGAATGTACAGAACATATGCTGACGTGGCGAAACGCAATTCAAGAGTCCACTTGCAGTTGGGTCCCATTTTTGATTTCCCAAACTTTTCGTGGAGGCAGAAGGGCAGGACAGCTAATCTAACAGGCAGTCTAGGGAACCTTGGTGTCAAAGCATGGCTGCTCTGTTCCTAGCAACTCCTGCTAGTACGTCCTTAACCAGAGCCCTCCAACTCTCACGTGGTACAAGAGAACCTCCAACTTCGCCTCTCAAACTTACACTTCCTCGTCGTTGGGCACACAAAACCACCACCAGAACTTATGCTTCGATTTCCATGCCGGTTTCATCCAAGTCCGAGGATCTCGTGGCCGCCATTCTTTCCAAGGTTAGATTTGTCCCTTTTTTGCATTCAGCTTCTTCTTTTTGTTTCATGGGTTTCCGGTGTTTGGTTTTATGGTTTCTCCAACTATCTCAATTGAAATTTCAAGAAAAGAAATATTAATTGTACTTAAATTATAGACATGATTTGTTCATTCCAAAAAAATTTGTGGCAGTCAGTTACTGAACTATGAGTACGCCTGGAGCCATCACCGTGAACCCCAAATTTTAAAAATTTTCATCGTCCCCCTATATTTTCAGAAAATTTTATTATTAGCTTCTTACTTTTTAAAATACCCAATGTGTAAGTATGTCACTTGGGGTATTCATATTTAATAACCATTTATGATGTAATTACATAGATGACTGTCACTTGTACTACCAAAAACAGTTGTTGGATATTTTGATGAGCATAGAGAAAAAATAAGTAACTTTTTTTAAAATTAAACTAGGGATACAAATATGGTTTGTATTAAAAGCAATTCATTGCTTTATAATTTATTTTTATTATAGTATCATATGAAATTATTATTTGCCATCATAATTTATTTATAGACATAAGGGTACATCATAAACAAGAAAAAAAAAGAGAATGATAGTATTGTCACAAATGAACTTTTATGATGTCATGAACCAATTTTTGAGTTTTGTGCTCAAAACTAATTTTTTCGAGGGCATGACATAAAAATTTATCTTTAACAATGACCGTTCAATAATCTTATTGAATTAAATTTTTGTCTATTGGCCATTTGTCCCGCTCAAGATAAAATCTTGGTTCTGATGGCAGTGCTTAGAACAACTATGTTCTATGAGACTATGAGTCCCAATATTGCAATCTATCTTTCTCCCAAAATTAGAGTCTCTTAAGTATTTTTTTTCATGCAACATTTCCGATATAGCTTGATTCTCAGAGTTTATAGGATATATTATATTACATTATTGAATACTGTGACGATTATGATGTTTGAATGCAACGATTAGTTCTGGTAAAATGTTCATATTATGCCCAACGAAGTGGAGACAAGGATGAACTATAATTTTATACCGAATTCATTAATCTCTTATAAAGAACATTCTGTTTTGTTGTGTTTGAGAAAGAATGAGTTTGGGCTTTAAAAACTGATTTCATTCTATTTTGGTGAGAGCTTTACTATATTTCAGTGCAGTTGTACCATAGAGGACAAAATTTATCTTGTTGTTTATGGTGAATAGACTGGGGAAATTCAAATCCATGGGCATTTAACATTCCATTAGTGAATGAAGAATATGATATTTTCAATTGTGAGAGAATAAAATCCTATATCTTTACTAGTGGTTCGATGATACAGAGTGGTGGGACCTTTCAGTGACTCATTTTTGTAACTTGTATTATGTTATTAGGATAATCTTGTGAACTCACCCACTGTGAATTAAAAATTTAAAATGAATCAGCCAAATTAGCTCAACAATTGCATATTGATGAGTTTCATTTTGCTTAGAGTACAGAATTTGGTCGTATTTTTCCAGTGTTGACTAAAAAACTTGATTTATAGATTGCAGTTCACATTGAGTATTACTTGCTCATAGATTATAGGTTGACCAAATGACTTTACACTTTCTTGGGCCATAACAATCTGCCCCGGCTCTTTATTTCCATTTCTGATACCCATCAGTGGTTCAATTTTACATGCTCAATTCAAAGGAACAGCCTGTAAACCCTCAATACCCTGTTGATGTTACACTGTCTTTGTTGAAAGCTCCTGATACTGCTACATTTTTGGGCGTGATTGACATGATATAGATTGGCAGCATGGAATCAAGAGTAATTTTGTAGGTTTCACCTTAAGATAATCAGGAAGAATGGGCATATAGGAATTTTGTAGGTTGTTGAGGGGGAAGACTAAGGCTACATTCATGTTTAGCTAATCATGTAGAGATGAGACAAAAATAACTCATCGCCAAAGAAGGAACTAACTTTTTTGAGTTGCATAAGTCGATTCACAAAGAATGCTTAGGATGATTTCCTATGTAGCAAGCCATGTCTTCCTTTCTGCGAAGGGGATAAAAATCTCTTGCGTGCTTGAATTCAAATACAAGGTTTCTGTAACAGGTATTGCACTTTTGCTCATATGCCAAGTCAGGATTTCTCTATCATGTTTTGCAGGGTTATATTGTGGGGTAGCACGCCCGTCACTCATTCTTCTCCAATTGATACAAGGTGGCATGTGGAATGTGGCATGGCAAGACTATAAATTTACTGTCATATTTTTCCAACAGGTTTAATAGGGTTGTTTAGATTTGTTATTCATCTTCCAACTGCTCTCTTGTTGTGGAAGGATCCTATTGTTAGCCATCAATTCCAATTACTGTCTTCTAATAACAGGAACCTAATTGATTCGTTTTTTCTGATGGTCATTTGATTTCCTTCTTTTTTCGAAACTTCTGAAGTCCCCCTTTCTGCAGAGGGAAAGAAACCTGTTCTTTTCTTGTTTTTTTTGTTTGTCCCAAAGTCTATCAATATACTTAGATTAGAATTTTGGCAGTTTTTGTTTCATTCCGTGCCTAAAAATAAACTTGTTAAAAGTTACGTATTACACACACACAAAAGGTATGTGAAAATAAAGATGAAAAATAACTGGAAAATAGGAAAATTAAAAGTAAAGAAAAAATAGAAAGTAAAAAGGATTTAATTCAATTATCATTCTTGCCTAAATTATCGAAAGCGTATTTCAGTNGTAAAGAAAAAATAGAAAGTAAAAAGGATTTAATTCAATTATCATTCTTGCCTAAATTATCGAAAGCGTATTTCAGTTGCAGATGCTGTCAGTATTGGAGGATGACTAAAACATGGTAGCTTAATTTTAGTTTAAGTTTTGACCCTTGTAGAATTAGAATGGCAAAACATGGTTCATGTAGCCAACTCTCAAAATTTGGACTATGTACAAAGGTGTTGTTGAATTGATTGGAGTTGTATTGCTGTCTATATGGTTTGGATTGCATATGCATGTGCAAATGTTTGGATGTTAGAACTCAAGACACCTGCGTACATTGCACTTCATAATTATTTTGGCAACCTCCCCTAAATTTTCTGGGATCATAGACTTGTTTGTAGATTAATGACGTCATCATATATCTAGTAGTAAAACTCACCACCATTATTGTATTGCTATTATGCTTTAATGCATTCAGTTTCTTTTGTGCAAGTTCAGATAGTTTTTGGGAAAGGGCTTCGTAAAAATATTATGGAGGTTTTAGTTCGCCATTCTTTGTATTAAAAAGAAAAGAATGTCACCAACAGGCTTTCTGATTAATCAAAAAATAAAATGGGCCATAGATGTGAATGATTCAGCACTTGATATTGCTATGCATGATAGTCAACTATGATAGTGAAGGTTTGTGTAAGCGTCTACTAACCAGAGGGAATATGTCTGATACGGTCGTAAACGGTAATTTTCAGACCTATTGTGAGTTAAATTTTACTTCACACCAACTANGTCAACTATGATAGTGAAGGTTTGTGTAAGCGTCTACTAACCAGAGGGAATATGTCTGATACAGTCGTAAACGGTAATTTTCAGACCTATTGTGAGTTAAATTTTACTTCACACCAACTAAGCCTGATTTTTCCCTATTTCCAAACCATGACATTTCTTATAGTTCCATTATTTTCAAATAGTAGCATTACATCCTACACTCAGTTGCTTTATGATTGTGTTCTTCTCTGTTAGAATTCTAATATCTGTGCAATGTCATCTAGTGGTGTCTGGCCTTGATTTGGAAATTTTAGTCATATATAATTCTGATGCATGTCTCAATCAGGTAATGCAAACAGATGGAGGAGTTTCGCTGACAATAGACGAACACAAAAGGGTAGCTGAAGTGGCTCAAGAATTGCAAGAATTCTGTGTTGATGAACCTGTAAAATGCCCTCTAATATTCGGAGGTAAATCCTTAGTGATGGGAGCTATTGTTTGTGATGGAATAGTAGAGTTTCCATCCATTCTTATTCCTTATTTTCCCTTTGTTCTTTCTTAGTCGCCCTTTTGTTGGATTCTTATGATTCCTTCAGCATGGAAAACACATGAAAGTGATGGATTTGCATCTCCTAGAAAACAATATATTTTTGTTGCCTATATACCTAGGCTATGGATTGATTGGTAGTTTGCTTCCTAAACATTGGTAATCTTGTCATTGAGTCTTACAAAAAACTAGCTCTTTATATGTGGGGAATGTTCTGTGGCTTTTGGAAAGCAATGAAGCTGTTTCTTTTTGTATTGCTAGTCTTGTTGAAGGCTTTAGTTTCAAAACCTCTTATGCCGGAATGGATACCTACTCACCTTGAGAAACTCAATAACATAGGAGTTGATCTCTAAGACATCTCAACCCCTTCAATTTATGATTAACTTCGGAGAAACAATACCATCATCATCACCTCTGACAGAAACTTGTGTTTGTGTGTACATGAACATGCACATGTGCCCACCCACATATACCTGCAAACATGAGCGCACTTGCACGTGCAAGTGCACATGTGCCTGTGCATACACGTCTCTTATGATTTTTTTACATGATCACACCGAAGGCCTCTCCAAACATGAGTACTACAATCTTTGACCATCCATTCTGCATTTTCAAACATGTTTCATTCAAATTATAGATAACCATAGACTGCTTAAAGGGGCTATTCCTTGGTCAACTGATAATGAACTATGTTTCCATACATTAGATGTGGGTGTGTGTATGAGGGCAACCACATAGTGCAAAAAACCCTGAAGGTTAATGTGTATGTCTACTTGACCTTCCTAGCATCTTGCATTAATGGGACCACAAATAAACATGGTAAATTACATTAATGGTCCTTAAGGTTTTCCACTAGTGTTACTTTGGTCAATTAATGCGATGCTTTTCCCACTAGAGTTGTCAATATGTTCACATGCTACGCACGTGTTATCTGTCTTGATTTAAATGGCAGTTTGCGTAGGACCATTGCTTCAAGTGATGACTCTGAGGACTCAATTGAGGAAATTAGGGCACTAAGGACCACAGTGACACTGGTGACCCTCAATACCTTCATATGATGATGTCTTCTATTTCTGATTTGAATGGTAGCAATTGCCAAGGACCACATTGTGACTTTGGGGACTCGATAGAGAGCATTAAATCTTTGAGGAACAAAGTGATACTAGTGGCAAACCTGGGTCCACTAGGTTAATTTATCTTAAATAATAGATTCTCATTTGTTTTAATTTCTATTTGCCCATTCCTGGTATTAAGAGGTTAACTGTGGATGACTTATTTGTGTTATTTTTAGCTTTTGAAATTGTAATAGTGTTTTGTTGATTTAGAAGGTCTCCATCTTATTTTTCTTTTCTTTGTAAGCTTCACTGAATTATCATCTTATAAACAGAGTGGGATGTTGTTTATTGTTCGGTGCCTACATCACCTGGAGGTGGCTACAGGAGTGCATTCGGCCGCCTTTTCTTCAGAACCAAGGTAATGATTCAGGTCATTGAAGCTCCTGACATAGTGCTAAACAAGGTGTCCTTTTCTGCCTTGGGGTTCCTTGATGGAGAGGTCTCTTTGAAAGGTAATCTACTTTGCAAATTATTATCTGGTGGAGTTGTTATCCTACTACATAACCAAGGAGTCAAACTGATCCCTGTGCAAGTCTTGTGAGTTAGCATGTCTCCAGATAATCTTACTTTGTTTGACTAGACTTGATGGATTTATGTTATTACTTTTGAATGTTCTGTGTTTTCCAAACCTCCTCAGTTTAACAGGGCATGTGCACATTACTTTTTGAATCAAATAGTGGATAATCTTTAGTTGATCTACAACCAAAAATACCAAATTATGAGGCAATGAGGCTCAACTTTGAGCCTAATGAAATCAATTCCTGTCAGTTTCTGATTAGTACTGCATATATTCTTATTTTCTGCCATTCCTTAGTCATTCTAACTCCTGTTATTATATAAACATAGGAAAGCTGAAGGCTTTGGATGAAAAATGGATTCAAGTGGTGTTTGAGCCGCCTGAACTTAAGGTCGGAGCACTAGAGTTCAAGTATGGTGGTGAGAGTGAGGTTAAGCTGGAGATCACATACATAGATGAAAAGATCAGGTTAGGGAAGGGCTCAAGAGGTTCTCTATTTGTTTTCCAAAGACGCAAAACAACTTCCTGAAGCGTACAATTTTCAAGTGTTGTGCTTTCTGTGCTACAGTAAATTAATACATTATTGGACCTCTTCCTTGTAAGGCAGAAATTGTATCTCCCGAAGTGCATATGTGGATTGGTTATTTTCAATGAGTAAGCATGAATGTATGCTGTTCTGAGGAATTTTCATAAACCAACAATTGAATGTGCAAGCTGAAGGCCTATTAAAACAAACTTCACACTAGTAACTGCACTAAAGGCAGAGATTACTGCTTACTAGTCCCAACCAGTTTCTGATGTGTCTAGCACTAGAATGAGACTCGGCCTTTGTCCCAAGCGCATGGACTGGCTCGGAAGCCTGTTAGCCTTGTGGTCCATGGTTGTATTGGTCTGTCACATCGCAGCCCGTGGACAATTTGTTAGTCTGAGTCTACCTTTCGGTTGCACTTGGATTGCCTGGGCAGGGGCTGGCCAGGCAAAATGGCCTGCAAACAGTCAACACCAGAATGAAAAAATAAATAAATTTTCATTTTATTTTGAATGTCGGGGTTACTTACAAAAAATGTTGTCGGTAAAATTTTTTATTTCTTTTTTACTAGAAAACTTTCACCCTTCCAAATGTTTGCCTATATCTCTTTCATGATTGGTATTTTAGAGAAATCATAAAATATACTGCCCTCTTCTTCACTAATCAGATCACATCCATAAAACACAACCACGCGTCAGTCTGCGGATGGGAGCTTTTATCCAAACCAATGCAAGCTTTAGGCAAACTAAAATAGTTGAGAATTTTTTGAATGAATTATACACACCACGTGATAGACTCATATGTGCACAACCAATTAAAAATTGTCATAACAGCAACTTATCAGACCCAATACACATCAGCACTAAAACAATTCTCTCTTTAACTTTCGTTAACCAGCGTCGCAAGCTACGAGTTCTAAGAAATTTTTTGCAGAAGAAATCAACTGTCTTGTAGAAGTATCCAAAGTCTTCTACTATATGACCCAAATTCAAAATGCAACTTTTCACCTCTTTTATCTTCGTTCTTTACCAACACCCATTCAAAACTTCTCAAAACCATTCTCTCAAACCGCTTTCTCCATCACTATTTCACTCTCTTGTCCTAAACTGGGTTTATTGGTCAAAACTCGTGAAACAAATATCAGCGTGTTTGAAGGTCTTCTACAACTCATTTAAAGACCCTTGCACTATTTTTAATGAGATTTGTGACGAGCAAGATTGACTACTCTCAAATTCCAAAATTCTCCTCCCAACAAGCATATTGTTTCAAGTTCAAATCTCAATGAAAATTGTCTTTCTATTGGATTAAGAACTGGTGTGCCATTATGAGTTGAATCACATACAAAAGGTTAAAATGATTATCCTCAGAGATGTGGACAAACCTTGATGATAGAATGAAGAAGAAAGAGCATAACATAGAGTTTAGAAATGTTGAACTTCTTAGCTTTTCTTATTCAATCAGTAGGTATTTATACACTTCAATTATACATGTGCTCAATCACTTATGAGCTGCATCTAATCTACTAACTAAATTCTGTTATAGATTGCCAAGTTGGGTTAGTTACAGTTTGTTACTGAGCTGGATGGTTGTCCAGTTGGTATAACCTATTTAGATGAGTTATTATCAGATATTGCTTGTGTGATTGAGTTGGAGAATGATGTTGTGTGATATGATGTTTCATCTATTATACTCATGCTGTCAACATGCCCCCTCACATTGACGATGATGAAACCATTAGTTTGNCTATTATCAGATATTGCTTGTGTGATTGAGTTGGAGAATGATGTTGTGTGATATGATGTTTCATCTACTATACTCATGCTGTCAACATGCCCCCTCACATTGACGATGATGAAACCATTAGTTTGGAAGTGAGAAATAAGAATCTAACAAGAGAGAGGCCCCTACTGAAAAGATCAGTTAATTGATGCTAAGACTGGAAATGTTTAATATCCAGTTGCTGTTTGGTGACTGGATCCCTGACATAATGATAGTCAACTTCAATTTGCTTCGTTTGTGTATGAAATATAGGATTAGAAACCAGAGCTATTGCAGAAGTATTATTACACCAGAAGATAGGCATGAACTCCAATATGTATGAAAATCATGAAATAGAGTCCTAAGCCAAGATATTTCAGCTGTAGTTGTAGCTAACGACTTGTATTCTGCTTCGATGGACACTGTGGATTTTTTTTTGGCTCCCTAGTGAGCTAAATTTTAACCTAATAAGATAATGAACCCAGTAGTAGATCTTCTATCAAAGGGACCTCCTACCCAATTTGCATCAACAAAGGCAGTTAAAGAGACTAGTGTAGAGGAGGAGTAGTGCAGGGCACAATGAGTTGTTCCTTTGAGGTATATGAGACCCTTGTCATAGCTGAGTAATGAAGTGAAGTTGGGCTGAAGTTGGCGCATGCATGAACTGCTACACTGAGTTTACAGCAAAAGAGATTGCTGGCCTGGGTGCCATCTATTTTAGACAATCTGGTAGGAGTACAAGGAGTAGGACAAGTTTTGCACGAAGACAAGTTGGCTTTAATTAAAAGAACTATAAGGTACTTATGCTGAGAGAAGAAAAGGCCAGCAGATGTTGGAGTAATATGAATACCCAAGAAGCAAGTCAAGGGTCCTAGGTCTTTCATATCAAACACAATATACAAATTAGTGATAAGAGAAATGATAAAAGAGGGGTTATTACCAGTGATAATATATCATCAACATAAAGGAGAAGACAAGTGAGAGATGAACTAGATTTTCTGATGAAAAGAGAAGGATCAACTATAGAAGGAACAAAGTCACATGTCTAAAGATGAGTAGTAAATCTTTCAAATCAAGATTTAAGAGCTTGTTTCAAGCCATAAATGGACTTTGTGCAGTCAGTACACATGATTAGGAAGCTGAATCATGAAATACAGGGGATTGATGCATGCAAACTTCTTCTTTAAGAATGCCACGAAGAAAGGCATTCATAACATCACGTTGTATTAAAGACTAATGAAATTGAACAGCCAAGGAAAGAATGGTTAGCATGCCTCATTATAAAGCTGAACATTTCTTCAAAATCAAGACTAGCCTCTTGATGATAACCTTTAGCCACTAGCATTACTTTATGTCTGGAAATGGTATCATCTGGATGCTTAACCTTGTACACACACTTACATCCAATAATGTTTTGTGAACAAGAGGAGGAACTAGAGTCCAAGTTTGATGCTTTTGAAGAGCAATGAATTCATCTTTCATGGCATCACACCACTCAAGATATTTAGATGTTGCAATGTAGGAAATGAGTTCAGAACAAGAACTACGGACAATGGTAAGATAAACCTTAGGATTGTAGAAACCAGACTTGGATCTGGTTTGCATAACATGAGTACTAGCTGGTGAAGAAAATGTATTAGAAGCTGAGAACAATGTACAAAAGTATCAAAGCAAGAAGATAGAGGGGGGCAAGGAGGATTGGAAGTAGCTGAAGGAATAGTAGAGAAATAAGGAGAAGAAGTAAGAGAACTAATAATTCAATAAGAAAAGAAGTGTTGGGTTTAGGACCAAGAAGAGAAGGATGTAAGGAAGAGCGAGATAAAGAAGCAAATGGAAATTAAGATTCATTAAAGACCACATGTCTAGAAACGTGACACTTGTTGGACTTGGGATCAAAGAATATATATCCTTTGTAATCTCGGGTATAGCCCAGAAATACACACTCAGCTGTATTAAGTTGTAGCTTGTTATGATAAAGATGTGTGTGAGATAAGGGTAACATGCACACTCAAAGACCTTGAGATCATTGTAGTTTGGAGTGGAATGGAAAAGTAACTTATAAGGGTACTATGAGGAAGTATTGATGCTAGGCAGTCTGTTAATATAAAAAGCAAAGGTAGCAAAAGCATGGTACCAAAAATGAGGTAGTAGAGAGGCCCAAATAATCAAATTTAAGTTGGTTTTGACTATATGACAATGCCTCCTCTCTGTAATCCCATTCTTTTGGGGTGTGTATGGACAACCTTTCAGGTGCTCAATTCCAGATTTAGAAGGGAAATCATTCAATTTTTTGTTGCACAACTCAACACCACTATAAGAATGAAATTTACTGATTTTAGAAGAAAACAGATCGTCAACATAAAACTTGAAGTTAAGAAATGTAGTGTAAACATCATATTGTGCACAAGAGGAAATATCCAAGTGAATCTAGTTTTATTATCGATGAAAGAAACATAGTAGTTATTACCATGGAATGACTTCTAGGGGAAGGACCCCACGCATCAATATGAACTAATTCCAAGGGATGCAAATATATTGACTGTGAGGGGGAGAAAGGGGTCTAGAAATTTTACCATACAAGCAATATTTGCAAATACAAGAATTAGGATTCTGAGATTTGGACAAGGATGAAATTTGAGAAGTTGAGAGAAGTTTTTAAACAATAGGATTGGAAGGATGTCCTAATCTTTTATGCCATGTGTGTTGCGAAATCTTGGTTTCTAGATTCGCCACCATGGATGAAGATGGTACATATCTTATGGGATACAAGCCATCTTCAGTTTGTCATTGGTAAAGGATTTTCTCCGAAGAATTGTTCTGAATTTGAAAATAAGAAGAGTCAAAAATAAATCGGTAGTTGTTATCAACAAAAAACTATTATACAGAAAAAAGAGTGGAAGAAAGATTTAGAACATGGAGGACAACGTTCACGAAAAAAGAATTAGACTTAGTATTTAAAGATGCTTGACCTATGTGTTATTGGTAGCTCTATTTCCAACTGTTATTGAGTCTAAACCAACTTATGTCTTTGCAAGAGGTAAATTGGAGAAGTATGGAGTGAGATAGAAGCTTGCACCAGAGTCAATGTGTAACGCCCCAAAATCCACTTTGGACGGCATTACAATTCAAAANGTAAATTGGAGAAGTATGAAGTGAGATGGAAGCTTGCACCAGAGTCAATGTGTAACGCCCCAAAATCCACTTTGGACGGCATTACAATTCAAAAGCCATTCACATCATGA